CTCTGCATACCTTTCTTAGTTCCCACTTGACCAGAACTGAATCTTATGCCCACACTGCTATAGGAGAGGCTGAGAAAATGAGTACCTGATGTTAGTTTTTGTTTTGTTTTGTTTAGTTGAGACAGTCTCACTCTGTTGCCCAGGCTAGAGGGCCAGGGCATCAGTCTAGCTCAGAGCAACCTCAAACTCCTGGGCTCAAGCAATCCTCCTGCCTCAGCCTACCAAGTGGTAGGATTACAGGTGTGAGCCACTGTACCTGGTCGAGTACCTGACATTGTCAACATCTGTAACTGCAGGCTGGCTTTGCTGTGAGAGTATAAAGACTGACATTTTCTAATGTTTCGTTTACTGTTGTGTGCCCAGAACCTAGAGTGGTGCCCAATCCTCAGTAAATATTTGTTACGTGAGTGAAATGATAAACAATGCAAGAATGTTGTGAACATCCATAGTGTGTTACAGAAATGAACTTACACAATAAGGCCTTGTTATTCTCCTGTCTTTCCCTTTACTCTTACTTGGTACCTTGAACTAGACCTCCTTGGCTCTCAGAGTGAGCTACTAAATTCCCAAGGGTTTCTTACAGCTTTTGGTAAGGCAGTATAAGACCTTGGGTAATAAGGACATTTGGTAACTCCCTCCACCTAAGCCCTATGCTGTCTTTGAAGGTGCAAATTATAGACCAAGTTTAATCATTTTATATAACAGTGTAATTTAAGAGACACAGAGCAGGGGATATCTGTCCTTAGAGTAAAAGTGGCCTCACACTGCTGGTAGATATCACTTCCTTGTTCGTTGCTGCTTTGGGATTTGGTTTGTGGGAATGTCAGCATCAAACAGGTGTCCCTAATCTTCCCAATTATAATAACTCCTCAAAGCACCTGGCAGCTGGGTTGATGACACAGCCATTTCTCATTTCAATCTGGTGACTAAAGAGCACTAACTTGGTCTAAATAACTGTAGTCTAAACTAGTGTCCACTAACCTGCCCTCTCATTGCTGGTTTCCTTCTCAGTCTGCATAGGATGGTGCTGACCACGTGCAGGAGGCTAAAGAGGAATTGAGGATTCCAAGCTCAGTGTTTATGATGAAAGTCAGAAATTTTAAGATTGTAGCAGGAGATTAAAGAGTCTTTTTGCTATTTATATTATTCATATATTATGTCATAAGGGACATATTCAAAAGTTATGATATTTCTCTTTGCATTTGTTTCACCCACTAATATTGTCACTGTACGCCTTATTTTATCTCAGTATTTTCAAGTACTTTATGTAGTCAGTCCTAAATGTGGCAAATGAAAATACAGTGTGTTTCTAGTGGACAAATTCCATTAAAACATGCACCAAATTCTTCTCTTTCTGCTCGACTTCCTGGATGCTGTCTAATGTGTGAGTGCATTTGTTCCCTCTGATACAGTTGCAGGCCTCATTGTAATTATTATTACCTCACAGGATTTGAGAGTTTGGACTAAGAGGAATAATGGCTTTCAAAATATCTCTTTAATTTCTAGCTCAGAGACTTGTATGGAACAGGCGCTTAATAAATATTCATTGACTTAATTGGTTGTAAATTGTTCTTGGAAATATTCCATTCATAATTAATGGAATAGTTAGTTAGGTAGTATCTATTGTTCCAATAGGGTTCCATGTTTTTCTTCCTAGCTCATGTAATAATAGAATTCTTTATTTAGCCTTATTGCCTCTCTTATCAATGATACCTCCTTCTATTTCAATCACAGTAGACCAGTGGTTCTCAGTCTTCCTAGTGCTGCGGCCCTTTAATATGGTTCCTGTGGGTCGTTACCCACAGGCTGAGAACCACTGCACTAGACCTAAATGTATTTTTAGTGTGTAACCTTGGGAAAATTACATAATCTTTTTTTGTTTTTGTTTCCTTATTGATAAAGGAGAATGATGAAAATTCTTACCTCATCAGACTGTAATGGATAAATTAATACATGTAAAACACAGCAACCACCATTTGTGTCAAAACTACACTAGTTGGTCAGTTGCAACTGTGGGTTGACTATGGATACAAAATCAATGAAAGCATTCTGTGATCATTAATTGGCTGAATGGAATTTATAATAAACCATGCTGTATACCTGTATATTTTTATCATGTGAAAATTGTGTACTATTCATCCTTTATGTTAGTAAAATTTATAACAAGTGGGTGTACAGATAGATATGCACACGATGTTTTTATTGTTTTTAACATTTACCCCGGTAACACTGCCTCCTCTTTTGTCCCTCAAGCTCATGGATGGTTCTCTAGCATATGGATAGTGTCTGGATGTAACTTGTAGCAGATGCTGTTGGTATCCTACCCAGATCTCCTTTACTGGGCCAGTGCATCCATCTCCCAGCTGCTGCGGGTATTGGCTGCTAATGACTCACACCTGTACCCTTCTCCAGAGGACTGCCCTTGGCTGACAGTAATTGCCCCAACCAAACATGTTTGAGAGATTGTGAAATCAGACCCCAATACCCTCCTGTTCTCCAAGGGTGGCTCATAGCCAGTGACTATACAGGGGTGCCATAGCTCAGCCCCCTTGCCTCTGGACTAGATAACTTCTGTGATTCAATCCATACTCTAGAATTCCCCATGGCATCAAGCTGGGGCTAAGATTTCTGAAACATTATCTTTTTCTAGCTTCTTCCTCCCTTCTAGCTTGCTTATTTCAGTCCTGGTTTCTCCTGACAGTATCCCATCTATAATCAGGTGCACAACAAATGCCACTTCAGGCTCTGCTTGTAGGGAACCTAACATAAGAGGTTGCTAATCTCAGTATCCCTGTTTCCTTAGTTCCACCATCATTTATACAACCGATTCCCTATATTAAATAATCTCTGGCTTAAATTTCTTTTTTTATTTTTGTTTTGTTTTCTTGATTGGACCCTATCTAATATGCATCCCTCCTGCTCATATCCCATATCTTTACATACTGGATGTTACTCAACATCAAATGTCTTTGATCCTGTTACGTACCTTTTAGTATAGTGAAATGGTGAATATCTTAGATTTTAGGATCTGAAGATTAGCTTTAAAGCCCGAGTCAATTATACTACCTTCCTTGGATTATTGTAAGAATTATACAAGCTATTCTTTGTAAAACACTTAGCACTGAACCTAGAACATAGGAAATGCTTCATCCATGGTAGCTATTTGATTACTGATGTAATTCTTTTAAGAGATTTGCCCCACTTTGGGTGAAATGCCTTATGTCTTGCTCCCGGAGCACCTAATGAGTACCTCTATGACAGCACTTTGTGACGCTGTCAAAGGAGTTTTCTTTTGAGTTTTCTTTGAGTTTTCTTTTCCATTATATTTCTCTTAGAAAATATAACTTTCTCAGTGGTGAGTTGATTTTCTGGGAAAGTCCTGATATGTAGCATTTGCTGATTTCAATAGTGAAGGTACTCCCACCTTGGCTGGGTTTTTTTTTGGCTGGGGCCAGGTTTGAACCTGTCACCTCCTGTATATGGGGCAGCACCCTACTCCTTGAGCCACAGGTGCCTCCCACCTTGGCTGACTTTTAAGCCACCAGCATGTCACTGAATACAGAGTTGGGAAGACATGCACACAGGTGGCTCTTGCAGCCACTATGCACCAACTTCAGTCCCCACTGTTTCCATCCCTCACTCTCGCCACTGTATGTTGAACATAGAGCTTCATGTTCAATAAGAGACTAAAATACAGTTATTGACTGGTTAGGAACTGATTGTGTGCACTAAATTGTTGAAATTCCTCAGCATCTAATTTTTGTTATATAACCAAGATTACCCCTTCTCCTCCACACAAATTGCCCCATCCTACTTACGAGTCAAAGAAATAAAACTAGTTATCATGATATAATGGGAAAGACCTGTGCCTTCCTTGGTTGTCTGTTAACTCAGATGCAGATCTTAATTTTGTGATTTACTGGACACTTGACTTAGGGTTCACTCATTTTATCTCTCTCTGCCTCAGTTTCTTCAGAGAGTTGGACTGAATAATCTCTAAAGTTTGTTCTAGTTTCAAAACTTTTAAACCTTAATTATTATATAATTTCATTTCCTCATTCTATCATTTTCCTTGTTCCTATATTGAAGTTTGAGTTATATATTGTGCTAGATACTGGAAATACAAAGAGAAATAAGATATGCCTGGCCAATGAGAATCTCCATATGGTTTTTTGAACATCTCACATCATTGAGACCATAAGTGTGTGCTCATTGCCTTGTATTTTTCTCCATGGGATATGAACTCAGATAGATTTATACAAATATAACAAAGGTCATTTTGGTTCACAAAATTTAACACTTTGAATTATTGTGTTCATAACTCTAGATGAAATTAAACAAAGTTGTCATGATCAGCAAGCAGTTCTAATAAAAAATATTACCAAACTAAAAAACAAAAATACTAATGTTTTTTTTCTTTCTTTTTTTTTTTTTTTTTTTGCAGTTTTTTGCAGTTTTTTGCAGTTTTTTGTCCAGGGCTGGGTTTGAACTCGCCACCCTCGGCATATGGGGCCAGCGTCCTACTCTTTGAGCCACAGGCACTGCCCAAAAAAATACTAATGTTAATCATACAGAAAGAAGCTTTGGTTGACTTCTTGGTCATCCTACTCTTTGAGTTAAATTTTAAATTCAGACTCAGGGAGGGTATAGTTCTTTTAGGACTAATAAGCAAAATCTAAAAATATTCTTTTAAGTTTATGATGTATTTATCCTGGTTCTCTCTCACACATTTTGATGTGAAAGTCTTGAAAAATGACTCTTAAACTTCTGTGTTCTCTTTCAAAGCCATGTCTACCTATTGGCCAATGTCATCTTTGTTGCAATTCACTGTGATCTGTGTTTTTTCTAAATTCCTGCTCTATTTCCACGCCACAGAATTTAGTACTTGGTTTTCAAAAGATATATTGGTTTCCAGTAGGAATTACTGTTGGGAACATTCTTTACTTACTAAAAGCTATTTTTAAAAGGAAATTTGTTTTGTTTTGTTTTGTTTTTGACAGGGGCTGATAATATCCGGAAATACTGGAGCCGCTATTACCAAGGATCTCAAGGGGTAATATTTGTATTAGACAGCGCCTCTTCAGAAGATGATTTAGAAACTTCTAGAAATGAACTGCACTCAGCTCTTCAGCACCCACAATTATGCACTTTACCCTTTTTAATATTGGCCAATCACCAAGACAAGCCAGCTGCCCGCTCTGTACAAGAGGTATGTCTCATTAATGTAACACTCTTTGCCTACCTCGTTTGTTGGACTTTTGCTGCCATATTGGAATATGGAAAGATACATGTAATTAGGGATATGCTGGTTATGCTATTTTCAAAATGAAACCTTCATTTTCTTAGCAGAAAATCTATATCAATCTGATAGCACCTGTTTACATACCTAATCCTTCTTGAGTTGCACAGATTGGTGTTTTAGCTGATTTGCAGAAGTTAAAGGATGTTTCAAGCTTTTTTTTTTTTGTCTATTTATTTTGAAGGGCTAAAGATCTTGTTAGTTAACATCTTTTTTTTGACCTGACTTAAGTCATTCTCCTCTAGCTTTTCAAGGAATGCATTAAGTATATTTATTATATTATTGTGTATCACTTGCCCTCAAATGCCATGTTTCTGTCTCTCTGAAATGCTTACTGTCGACTAGAAGCAATAGGTCATATTCTATTATGTAGACTAAAAATTAATATTTTATCTTGCAAGTTTCATGCCACCAAATACGTTTTAATGTGGACCTGTGGTTTATCTGCCTTACTTAATTTCATTTCTTAGCTTATATCTCTCCTATAAAAATATGACACTAATTCTAGGCAAATAATTAGCGTCTCGTCCAGCAGAGCTTCTGACTCATGGTACTAAAGTAATAAGATATGTAAATAGTTTTCAAAACTTAAATTATGGTGAATTACAACTTAAGTAAAGTGAAATCAAAGCTCATGATGTATTCCTTTATACTTGTAACTTTCTAGATGTATTTTCCCTTGTCCTTCAGAAAACTGTGTGCTTCCTCAAGTGACTTTGGAATAAGATGATTAATAGGAGTAATATTGCCCTTTAGTCCAAAATGTAGATGAGCCAAGAACATAACATGTTCTAACGCCAAGCCTCCCTTACACTTAGTCTGTGACCCATGGCAAATAGCTTTGTTCCTGTGCTTGGCTTCTCACCTGTAAAATAAGAATAATGTAATTTATTATATTAAGTGAGTGGGATTAATTTGAATAATTTATTTTGATATTTGAAGTACTAAGTGAAAGAGTAACCACATAGTTTTGATTTAAATTTTAGAAAAATGGTAGAAAGAAAGATATATTCTTTAAGAGAACTCACGTCTGCCTTTAGTTATCTTCATTCAGCATTAGGTATTTAGCACCATTTTTCTTTACAGATTTTGGAAAATGCCTTATAGATGATATTACGTAATTGAAGTAAAAAAGAACAATAAAATCTATTTAGAAAGTCATTCATGTTCAGATCATTAGCAGTGTAATTGTGGTGCCTTCTTGGTTGTTCTTAAGCCCTTAGCTAAACTTTTAACTTCTCAGTGTCGGTTTTTCTGTCTGTAGAATGGATATAATAGTATATAATGATGAGTAGTTATGGATATTAAATTAGTTTATGATTACAAGGTCTTTTGCTGAAGGTGCGTTGTTCTGATATTCATTGTGGAAATGTAGTAATATATAGGATATGTGTGTGTTATAGGATACACATAGATAATTTAATATGTATATATGAATTAATATATACATATTAATATAACATGATAAAGTACCATTAAAATTTCAAATTACTTTATTCAAATTATATGCAATATCTGAAAAGATTTTTCTTTTACTTTTAAATTTAAGAAACTTTATAAAAAAAAAGAAACTTTATGTTTTCTTTCCTTAGACATCATATAATTGAAACTAATGTATTTTTTTAAACCTAATATATGACTCATGGTAACCTTCCATAGGAATTAAAGACTGTCACACTGAATAAAAGAAGCTTTTAGGAATTAATTGCTTCTGAGTATTCTTTGTGTGTGCCGGCTGGCTCTGTCTCTTAGGTAAAGGGTAAACATCTTCTCAACCTTTTTGTGACACATTTTTTAGTAAAACAGATGACTGGAAATGTACAGTAGTCTTACATATAGTTCGAAAATGCTTAGTGGATATGACTTTGACTTCTTTTTTTATTTGTATCCGGTTTAAATTAACTTTTCTCAAAAGTTTTGCCTGTAATGGAATTCGCATAGTATTGTTTCCCTGTGACTACGTAAATACACAACATTCAGGCGCATGTTTAACATTTTGGACTACTTCAGTGAGATACATGGGCAAATTCCATTATAGGTCTTAAAGTTTGTGAAAGCCTAATGGATTGGTCGTACTTACTGTGATTTGGCCCCCCACCCTCAAAAAGAGGATCTTTCTGGACTTTTCCCATTTCTTGATGACAAGGAGGTTTCTCTGTATAATGTATTATAATGCCTTGGTTAAATACTCTCAGGAGTGTTTTAAGAATTAAATCAATACCTTATTGTTAGCATAAAAATGAAGCTATGAAACGGAATCTTAAACATTTTATTAAGAGTAACCTCAAAATGGTTGGGAACAGGCACGTGTAGAAGAGGGAGAGGAAGACTGAGTTAGCGAAGTCACACGTTACTTGCAATATATTTAGACGTGGTCATTTATTCTTCCTTTTGTAAACATATCGCAAGCTCTGTGCTCTATTGCCATTAAGCATTCTTATTCATTTGCATCTGCTAATTTGTTTGTTTTATGGAATTTCCAAAGTTAAAAAGATGTTATTTTGCAAAATATTGGGAATTTTAGGCAAAAGTCTGTTCTTTCAGAATCAAGGAAGATGTATTGCATCCAAGTTTACCAATAAGCCCTGAACTTTGATGCTGTTAAGGAAAGACAAGGAGACTTTTATTGGAACTTATTACATTATGTCCTTAATGCAGAAAATGTGCAATTATTTATTCTGTTACCAGAATACAACTTTATGAACTCACTTAATGGTCAATGAGGATATCAGGATATCGTTGACTTTAGAAGCCTGTGAAATCCAAAGGAGAAAGCTGAATTATCAAAGGGATTCCAACAGAGGGTAAAAATCATTAGGAAGTTATACATTTAATCCCCTACTATAAGTGTTCCTGCGTTTGTGTCGAGCAGAGTTAAGAAATAAAGACAGTGGTTTAAATTACTGTATAACCCACAGACAGAGGGCAACATGCCCAGTTATTTTCTAGCCTTTTCAGAAGCAAGTGGAGTCTTGTACATTGCATATTTTTCCTTTCTAATATACCTGGTAATGACCTGTGTTTAACTTAACCAGAATTTTGAGATTTTATGTCTTGAGAACTGATAGAGGAAACATTTTTTTTAACAAATAAGCGTTAAAAAAAGTGACGAATCACTGGGAAAAAGAACACCCTTTACATACTGTCTGAAAGCCAAGCAATTCTCGCAACAGATGTTTGTTGTATTCACTTTGGGGAGGTGTAGTTACCACAGTTTTCCAGAATTTACGCATATCAACTATTTTTCTCTATAGAAAACATGCTAGAAAAATCTATAATTATGTCAAGTGGCTCACTTTATAGAACAGGGAAAATACTGGTGTAATTAAAATAATAAAGTTATAAAATAAGAGAAATCTTAGGGGTAGTTTTTTTTTATTTGTACTGAATTGTAATTGTATCTAATTTGTTTTACAACTCCCATGGGAGAGCATACTTCAGTTCTGAAGTTATTTAATAGATCAGGAAGATTTTATGAGAAGTTAAGTTGATATAGTAGCCAATAAATATAATCTATTTTCCCTCTACACAGTTGCTGATTGTGATTGTTTTACCTTCTGGCTTCTAAAATCTTATTTTTGTTGCATTGGGCATTGCTGTGTCTTATAAATGACACATTTTCTTAACAATGAAAGAAATAGCCCACATTTTGAGCAGTCTCATTTGATATTTATCTATGTTCTTAATCTAAAAGTATTTAACTTTGTCAGAAATAGTAGATCAAAATACAGTGTTAACTATTTGCTGAATATTTTCCATTCAACTAAATCTTAATTAAGAATTATGAAAACTGTGAAACACATTTTTGAAGCAGAATTATAAGGTCGAGTGACTCTGTTGGATTCATGGCTCATTAGTTGTAGCTCAGAAAAATACAGCTTCTAAATTAGGGGGTCCATATTAAAGTTAAAATTTGTGATCTCTCGATTTTCACGCAATTGTGATTTAGTTTGTTGTGATGTGCGTAAAACTTCATGTTTTGAAACGAATAAAATGTAAATGTGAAAAGAATAGAATATAAATGTAAGAAGAGTATTTGTAAGTATTTTTATAATATAAACATTACTAGCTTTTTTAAACGATGTTTTTATTTTTGTTATAAATATTTAGATTTTTTGAACAGTACATTCAGTATTCTGTCATGAGTAGTTTATTTAGTTCTTACTTTTAAGTATGTAGGTATCTTCCAGACAAGGGTACTAGTATATTTTTATGGTATTTAGTTATCATATTTACTTATAATCACGTCTTCCATATAGACGATTATTTATACCTTTTTTTCTTTTTACAGAGGATCAGAAAGGATTTTGACAGATTGAAATTTTCAGACAATGTGTCTCTAAATAATCTACTTTAAATTTTTTAATTTTATATTTATATTGCATGTTTACAGGTCATGTTTTTTGGTGGTTCTATAAAGTAGTGAATATCTTGTCGGATTTAACATGATAAACATTTGATTGAAAAATGAAATGCAGTATTTAAATCATTTGAAATACTTAATTTAATTTCATATTACATTCTACATATAGAGAGAAATGTGTGTGTGTTTGTAAAACAATCATTTGAAAGTGTCATATATTTTAAATCTTAAGAATGCTCCAAGTATCTTGACTGACTTTTTGGCACTATTTTAGAATACTGATTTGACTTCACATGGAGCAGTATCCATACCTATGGTGTGAGCAGTTTGAAAACTCCCTGATGAGATGTATGCTTATTCTAAAATGATATGAGAAATACAAATTTTTGTTCATTCCTTACAGATGTACTCCACACTGTTAGGATTAAATCTGGGGAAATAATTAGAGGGTTTGGAAGTCCATTTTCCACTGAATGATTTGGTTATCTTCTGAAAATGTTTACTAACCTATAAGAAAAGCTGAATTAGTAATCATTCATTAGTTACA